TTTTATTTTTAGTAAAGTAGCAATATGATGGTATAATAGGGGATAAAACCAGAATCTTGAGAGAGGAGAGCAGCTTCTTTGGGGGAGGGGGGGTAGTTGGGAGAGTACACCTCTGGTTGAGAATCACTGCCTTAGTATTCATTCGTTCTTTCATTCATTCGTTCAACAAGTATTTATCAAGTGACTCTATTAGACATGCTTTTTCAGGTGCCAAATTCAATTGTGACTCAGAACATTATTGTGGAGTGGTTAAGCGTGATTTGGATCCCAACTGCGTGGATTTGAATCCCAGATTTTTCACTTGCTCAGTTAAATGACCTTGGGGAAGTTACTTACTCTCTCTGTGTCTTAATTTCCTCATATATAAATTGGGAATAATAATAGTATCTATCTCATAGAGTTGTGGTGAGGATTAAATGAGTTCTTGGAACTGTTGATATTAAAGAGTGCAGTTGTTTTCATACACACTCATACACAGGCACAAACACGTGTATGTAATGCCATGACTAAACCATAACACAGTACAATATAGCACTGCAATTCATGTTTTAGTTTGTATTAATTTATATGTCACTTTGTTTCCAAAAGGATTTGAAACAGAACTGAAGCTTTCTAAGGAATACTCTATACCCAAGCAGCACAACAGAACTAAAATATGGATTTAGGTTTTCTTGTTTTGAAAGGCAAAAGGCAGAATTTAAAAATGAGTATAGCTAAGTGCTGGGAATAGAGTAGATACTCAGCAAATGTTATTTCTCCTATGTGTAAAAGAAATCATTTACTTAACAAGTGGGTTACTGCTGGCCCAAAGTGTGCCATTGTGCAAATTTTTAAAAAATGCCTCTTTCAAGTAGACATAGTCCCATGGGTGCATTGGGGAGTAGAGTGCAGGCTGTGTTTTAGCCCCCACTTGGCCTGGAGCTCTTGTGCAGTAAACAGTCTTCACAACTGTTCAGTGATTCTGAATGTAGTATTAATTTGCTTCTCTTTTGAAATTCTGGGTTGTTTGTTTGTTTGGTTTTTTTTTTGGTGAGGAAGATTAGTCCTGAGCTAACATCTGTGCCAGTCTCCCTCCACTTTATATGTGGGTTACTGCCACAGCCCTGCTGACGAGTGGTATAGGTCTGCGCCTGGGATCCAAATGCCCGAACTTGGGCAGCTGAAGTGGAGGACGCCGAACTTAATTACTATGCCACAAGGCCAGCCCCTGAAATTATAGATACTGCATTGTATAAAGCAGTAGGACCTTACCACACGGCTTAGCCACGTGAATCAGAATTCTTATATTGTGTTCTCTGTCAGTAGTTCTAACTATTAAAATATTAAAAATTGTTTCAGATATATCATTTTAAATACAGTCTGCCTCATATCAGTATAATCAGCTTTTTCTTCATTTTGCTTTTTATCTACTTAATTTTCATACTTTTTACTTTGAGGTATTGTAGATTCACATTCAGTTGTAAGAAATAATACAGAGAGCTCCATATGCTCTTTATTCAGTTTCCCCGAATAACTTCTTGTTACTATTGTACAATAATACAACCAGGAAATGGACGTTGACACCATCCATTGACCTTCCTCAGATTTCATTAGTTTTACATGCACTCATTTGTGTCTGTGTGTGTGTATTTGTATTGAATTCTGTGTAGTTTTATCTCACGTGTAGATTTGTGTGACCACCTAGTCAAGATATAGAACAGATCCATCACAAGGCTTCCTCATGTTACCCTTTCATAGCCACAGCCCCTTCCCCTGGCAACCTCCTGCAACCACTAATCTGTTCTCAAGCTCCATAATTTTGTCATTTCAAGAATGTCATGTAAATTGAGTCATGTAATATGTAACCTTCTGACGTTGGCTTGCTTTATTCAGCATAAATTCCCTTGAGAGCCGTCCAGGTTGTTGCACATTCCAGCAGCTCGTTGATAGTGAGCAGTGTGCCATGGTGTGGATGTATCAGTTTGTTTCACCATTCGTTTGTTGGAATGTAGTTTCCAGATTTGGGCTATTGTGAAGGAAGCTCCTATGAACATTTGTGTACAAGGTTTTGTGTGAGCATAAATTTCTTTTTTTCCCAGTTTGCTTGCTGTTGAATTTTATCAAATGCTTTTTCTGCACTTACTGAGGTGATCATATGGTTTTTCTCCTTATTCTGTTAAAGTGGTGAATTATACTGATTTTTGAATGTGAAATCAGTCTTACATTCTTGGAATAAATTTCAATTGGTCACGATGTATTATCCTTTTTATGTAACTTTCATTTGATTTGGTAATATTTTGTTTAGAACTTTTATGCCTATATTTATAAGGGATATTGACCTGTAGTTATTTTTAATGTCTTTATCAGATTTTGATAGCAGAGTTCTACTAGTATCATAAATGAGTTTCTCTATTCCCTGAAAGCATTTACGTAGCATAGGTATTATATCTTCCTTAAATGTTTGGAGTGAAGCCATGTAGTATTCTTAAGTTTTTTATTTATTTATTTTTTGCTGAGGAAGATTGTCCCTGAGCTAACATCTGTTGCCAATTTTCCTCTTTTTGCTTGAGGAAGATTGTCCCCGAGCTAACATCTGTGCCAGTCTTCCTCTATTTTGTATGTGGGATGCTGCCATGGCATGGCTTGATGAGCAGTGTGTAGGTCTGTGCCCGGGATCCAAACTGGCGAACCCTGGGCCACTGAAGCAGAGTGCATGAACTTAACCACTACACCAGGTTGGCCCCCTTAAATTTTTTATACAGTACTTAAATTTATATTTTCTATCAATACCTATATTAATCACTTTCTGTGTCTTCCTTCTGAACAAGACAAGGACTTTGCCATTCATCTGCTTTCCCTTCTCCCATCCCCTCTTTTTATCCTCACAGTTACTCCTGTTGATATCATCTGAGATTGTAGTTCTGAATGTTCATAAGCTTTTGTATTTTGTTTTGTTTTGTTTTTTTCTAATCAGCTCTTATTTAAACTTAAAGGCTTTACTGGCTTCTCTGCTTACTCTTTTCTTGTACCTTGTTTTCTGTTACGTTAATTTTTTTTTATTCCAGATACATATCTTTGAGTAATTCTTTCACCAGAAGTCTGAGGGAAGCAAAATTTTTGTGTCCTTGTGCATTCAAAAATGTCTTAATTTTACTCCCCACCCGAGTGAGAGTTTGACTAGGTGTAGAATTCTTGTTTGTTTGTTTTTTTAAAGATTGGCACCTGAGCTAACATTTGTTGCCAATGTTTTTTTTTCTTCTTCTCTCTAAAGCCCCCCAGTGCATAGTTGTATATTCTAGTTGTAGGTCTTTCTGGTTGTGCTGTGTGGGATACCACCTCAGCATGGCTTGATGAGTGGTGCCACGTCGGCACCCAGGATCCGGACCCGCGAAACCGTGGACCACTGAAGCGGAGCGCACAAACTTAACCACTTGGCCTCAGGGCTGGCCCCTAGGTATAGAATTCTAAGTTTAAAAGTATATCCAGTTTTCCCAGTCTGTTGAAAAGACTGTTCTTTCCCACCGGGTACTGTTGTCACCCTTGTCAAAAGTCAATTGACCACAGATATTTGGGTTTACTTGTGGACTCTCTTCTATTCCGTTGATATATATGTCCATCTTTTTGCCAGTACTACACTGTTTTGAAGTCTGTACCTTTGTAGTAAGTTTTGAAATCAGGAAGTGTGAGTCTTCCAATTTAGTTCTTTTTAAAGTTGTTTTGGTTTTCTGGGTTCCTTGCATTTCCATATGAAGTTTAGGATTAGCTTGTCCATTTCTGCAAAAAAGACACTTGGAATTGTGATAGAGATTGCTCAATTATCTTTTTTATCTTAATTTTTTATAATGCTTTCTACTTCTTTTTCCTTATGTATTGTATTCTGGTGAATTTCTTAGCTCTGTCTTTCAGATTACTTTAATTTAATTTAATTTGCTTTTTATTTTTTCAGTTCTTAGGTTTTTTAGTTCAGTGATCAAAATTTAATTTCTAAGAGTTCCAGTTGATTTTTTTGATAAATGTATTATTATCTTGGATATCTCTGAGGATATTAATTGTACTTAATCTAAGGCCTTATTTGTTAACTCTCTTTCTTTGGATGTAGGTTCTTCTGTTTATCACACTAGTGCCTCTTTTTCATGTTTGAGTCTTGGTTTTGTGCTCATTCATCTTTACTTGAGAGTCCTTGTTGGCCTTCCTATGAGTGTTACGTCTGTATTGCAGCAAGTCTCCACTGCCGGTGGGTAGAGATGGAATGTGCAATGAGATGAAGTGTACCAATTGCCAGTCTTCTTTAGTGTGAGTGTCCCCTCTTCTGCCTGGGGGTTAAATCCAGCCAGGGCCCTGTCTTGTCTCCCTGATCCAAGTGTTTATACTCATTGTTCCTACCTGGGGAGTCACACCTTTTTTGTTTGATGCCACTGCTCCCATCTGGGAGCAAATCCCTCTATTCCATAATGCTTGATCATTACAGAATATCATTATTCTATAATGCTGAGTTTCCTCTGAGGGCTGCTCTAACCATGTGCAATAGCCCTCTACTCTGGGCCTATAGGACTGTGATTTCTTTCTTTAAGCTGATTTATCAGCTTTTCATCTTTCAGTGATTCCTCATAGTTTTAGTCCACTAAGGACATTTCTTGCGGTGTTTTGATTATGGATTTTTGAAAAATGGCTTTTGTGTTATTTGTGGGGCATTAGGAGAAGGGGAGCTTGCTTGCAGTCTGCTCAGTCAATCATCTTGATTCAGTCAATGGCTATGTCATATTTATAGTGAAATTAATAAAAAGGAGAAAAAATTTTGAAAGCCAGCAAAAAATAAAATATTGAGGAAATAGTTGAAAAGATTGTTTTTTGTTTTTGTTTTGGAGAGTAGAAGCAATCCCGTGAAGATTGGCAGTTCAAATGTATAAAAATTATGCTTCAGTGAACAAAACTTTAGACCAAAAATATATTTACATGAAATTGGAAAGACATATATTTGCTATGTTGCTGGTTTCTCTTTTTTTCCGGCTCTTTGGGTGAAGAAAGAAAACATGGGTTCTGAAGTCAGTTCTGATCTTGCATGAATAACCTCCATAGAGTCAACATTAGCCTGTGCGGATGACAGACTTATGTCGGTTGCTGAGAGAGAAACAGGCTGAAGATGTTTGACAGAGCTCTGAGAAGACATCAGAAAGGATTTTTGATTACAACTTTGATTCAATAATTTTCAATGTTATTCCCTCAGTGTTATTCTAAATTTGCTGTATATTTTTCCATAATAAAATAATATATGTCTTGGAATTTTTGGATAAAATAAAAGGGGTAATAACACTGAACCCCAATCATAACCACTGTTGACACTTTGGTATGTTTCTTTACAGTATTGTTTTTATAACTTTAGAAGAAATTAAAGTAATATGGTATTGTTTTTCTTCCAGTCCAAAAGTAATGCATACTTAATGAGAAAGCTTGGAAAATAAAGACCAGCACTAAGGAGAAAAAAACAAAAATCAATCATGATAACCACCCAAAGATAACCACAATTAAAATTTGATGTATATCTTTCTTGTATTTTTCATGAATATATATACTTTTTTAAATTAATGTGGTCTCATACTCTAGTACTATTTTTGCCTTGCATTTTCTATTTGCAATATACTGTGAATGTTTTCTCACATTAGTAAATATTCTTGTACAGTCATGCACCGCATAATGACGTTTCGGTCAATGACGGACCACATATGCGATGATGGTCCCATAGAGATTAGTATCAAATAACCTAGGTGTGTAGTAAGCTGTACCATCTAGTTTTGTGCAAGTAGTATAGGGGAGGAAGAAATTTTCCTCTACCCTTCGAGGTTCTTCTGGCTAGTCTAAGAATTAAATTGACAAGACACAGATTAACAAGAAAAACAAACAAAAATTTAATAACATGTATACATGGGAGAAACCCAGAAAAACTGAGTAACTCACCAAAATGGCTGAAGCCCTCACCTTAAATACCATGCTCAGCTAAAGACAAAAGAAGATGTTGGGAGTGAGGAGAGTCAGGGACTTCAAAGGGAAGGAAGGCAGCTCACAGGTAGGTGATAAGGAGAAAATGTTTGGAAAACACGTGTTTGGCCACGCAGAAACAGAAGAACACAGAGGGGAGCCCAACACACAGGCTTTTCCAGGTGCCTCCCTGTCAACCACCTAGTTCATGTGATGCTAAGGTGGTAGCTTGTTTCCTGAGACAGGTTTTTTGGTCTGAATTCTTTTAGGCAGTTAAGGGGGAGGTAGCAGAAAAACTTTGTCTTTTAAAAATAATTGGCCTAAAGGGGCTGGCCCCATGGCCAAGTGGTTAAGTTCACGCGCTCCGCTGCAGGCGGCCCAGTGTTTCGTTGGTTCGAATCCTGGGCGCGGACATGGCACTGCTCGTCAGACCACGCTGAGGCAGCGTCCCACATGCCACAACTGGAAGAACCCACAACGAAGAATACACAACTATGTACCAGGGGGCTTTGGGGAGAAAAAGGAAAAAATAAAATCTTTAAAAAAAAAAAAAAAATTGGCCTAAAATAATCCTCATGTTAAAGAGACACATTTTGGGGTGGCAAATTTTGTTCCCCTTCAGTACTCTCTGTGATGTTCACACAATGACGAAATTGCCTAACAATGTATTTCTCACAATATATCCCCGTCGTTAAGCGACGCATGACTGTATGTACTTTTTAGTGGTGCGTAGAATATGAATGTATTTAAGTATGTTTATTTAGCATACTTAATCTACCTATCATTGGACATTAAAAGTGTTTCTAATTTTTTGCCAAATTAAAGAATATCATAGTGAGGATCTTTGTCCATACATCTTTCCATGCGTATATGATTGTTTCTTTAGGAATAAATTCCTAGAAGTGGAATAACTGGGTCAAAGGGTATGTACAATTTAATGCTTTTGATACATAAAAATGTCATTTTAAGCTAATCACTTGTTATATTCTGTCTTGTATTGCTATCTAATTGTTTTATGTGTCTGTCTTGTCTCCCTAATTAGAACGTAAGCTTCTTGAGGGCAAGGGAAGTTTCTTATACATTTTATGTATCCTTTGACAGTGTGGTTTACCATGTTGGACTTAACGAGTCATGAACAATATTGTATTGATTTAAAGCTGTGGTTCTCCCGACTTTTGGATGTCGTAAACCTTAAATTTAAATATATATATATTTGAGGGATACACATAGACTTGCAAATTTTCTATTTTTCCAAGCAAGAATAATAAAAAACAAAACCAACTATCATTTCCTATCACCTTCATCTCATTAAATAAAGAATACTTAATAACAAAAAGTTTCTAATCTCTGAAAAAAGGACAGGCCTTTAAATGGAACATCTTACCTTTTTAAAAAACTCACTGCCTTGTCCATATTTTTCTCATTTTGTGTTGGACTGATGAGGCTTCACCTTAGCCTAGCATAGACTAACATTTGGAAACTAGTGATTTAAAAGACTTAGAGGATTAAAAGATAAACCCTTTTACAAGATAATTTTTCCCGTTGCCCATGAGTCTGTTGTCTTCACAATGTTAAGTACTTATGTGCAGGTAATGTCATTTCATTACACAGAATTTGCGTATCTCTATGTAAACAAACCAGACCTTGCTGATGAGCATCGAAATATATTTCCAATTGCCAAAACCAAAAACTGTATGCTTTCTAAGGATTTTGAGACAGAGTAAGTGTGATGTAGTGGAAAGAAGGCAGGTTTTAGAGTCAAACGGCCTGGGCTTGAATCCTGGCTCTGGCAATAAGTCACTTAATTTTCCTTTAGCTTCCTTGCTTGTAAAATTAAGATGGTAATATCTTCCTCAAAGTGTTTTTATAGGCCCTGTTATAACAGTTACTTCCCTGTAATGTAATTATTTGTTTAGACATCTGCCCTTCCTCACAAGACCGTGAGCTCCTGAGGGTGGAGTCACATCCTCCCCTCACTACCCTAGAGTCTGGCCTGGGTCTCAGGGCGTAGCAGGGGCTTAATGAAATGACTGTGGGATCCACACAGGATTGCTGTGAGGATCAAACGAGGTAAAATGTGTGGACGCTCTTTGTAAACTTTAAACTATGTACAAATATTAATTGCTGTCTTTGGGAGCTATCAAAACTTTGGGAAGAGACAAAATTATCCCATTTAACAGTTCTATAATGCCTTGCATTTTTCTTCTATTTTGTAAGAAAAGTTTTAATTTGGATTAATGTGGAGCTGATTTGCTTCCTGGGAAGGTAGATGAATTTCCTCCCCGCCTTTCTCCCTCCCCCCAGTGGAGGTGCCAAGATATTAAATGTTTGTTTTATTTGGCTGCTACCATAAAATTTTAATTATACCAAGATCAGCTTATTTTCATATTTAAAGAATGGTGCCCATTGCTTTATCCTCTTAACCATATAACTGATAAGAGAATACCAAACCTGGAAGAGAACAGGAGCCTACATTATGCCAAATTAATTTTAGTCCTTTTTTGACACTCACTGACTTTTAAAAATGTCATAGTTTTTAATCTGTTTGTAAAACTCCTGGTGAATTTTTGCCACAAGATGGCATTGGTGATTATTGAATGCATTTTTGGAAAATGGTGTACATAATTGTCTGGATTCTTTTGGGGATGAGTTGAAAACCTTCATCACTGCTTATATATTAATTTAATTTTGTTTTGACCTTCAAAACAGGGTTAAATGCTACTTTACATCACTTCTTTCTGTATTCAAGTATTGTTTTGTTTCCTGTTTTTCTGTCTTTTTAACTACAGTAACTATGTATTATTTGCCATGTGTTGTATGTGTCTGACTTATTGCTGATAATTGTGGTAACAGGTAAGAAGAAAATACGATGGGACCCAGTTAGGAGGCGCTTCATTCAGTCCTGTCCCATCATAAGGATCCCTAACAGGTTTTTGAGAGGTGGGTGATAACTAGCAAGAGATCTGTGTTTCATATGGGTTAAAGGGAACTTTGAATGAATTTTCTAAACTCAAAACTCTGGCTTTTAAAAATTATCTAAACAGCTAAAATTGGAGTAAGAAAGGTCTAGAACTTAGTTTTTAAACTTGTGTTTCGTACTGACCACTACTGGAATTGTGATTATAAGTTTTAGGGAGTCAGAATCACTTAATGTGTACTAGATGGTAGAAATAAATCATCTCACTACTGTCAGTATTATTCCACTGTAACCATATTAGGAAGAACTTTGAATAATTTATAAAACATGAATGTGGGAAGAATTTTGTAAATATAATTTCAAAGAAGAAATAAAGATTAATTTATGACTATAAAATTGAAAACCTCTCATGTCAAAAACCATAAATGAAAAGATAAAAGGAGGAAATGTTTGTAACAAATGATTAATATCATGAATATATAAAGAGCTGTTATAAATCAATAGTTTAAAAGTGAATGCCCACTAGAAAAATAGGTAAAAGAACATGAATAGCCAATTCATTCATAAAAAAGAAAAATCAGTAAATATGAACAAATATTTATTTTCCACTGTTGTTATAAACATTATAATTAAAATAATAAGATATTATTTTCACCTATTAGGGGGGCAAAGACTAAGAATACCCAGTGTTGGCAAGAGTATAGGGAAATGAAGCTCATATGTTGAAGGAAGCATAAATTTAACACAAGCCTTTCTGGATTCAGTTTGGTAGTGTGTATCAAAAGCCTTAAAAATGTTCACATCCTTTGACCTAGTAATTCTTACTTTTAGAAATATTGCATTCCTTCTATTTTTTATTTTTTCCACTAAAACATAGTCCATATTGAAAAAAGAAAATCTCAGAAGAGTGTTGAAAACCCTGGTTCACGCTATTTTTCTAGATATAACAAATTATCAGATAAGCATGCTTAATGGTGTAATTTACACTTATTAAATTATTTATAAGCTGGTGTATTTAATTTTGACTGAAGAGATTATTAAAAAAATCAACTAGGAAAAAATCCTGCAGCTGCTATAGATGTTTCTATATTTAGTGCCTAACCTATTTTTAGCAGCCAAGCTCCAGAGCATGAGAAGAATAAAATCCAGCCCAAATCTGTCAAGATAAGATACTTAGGGTGGTGTGCTATCTTTTAACATAAATAATTTTATTGATACAGATTAAGAGGTAATTTTAGAGTTATGTGACAGAAAAACCATTGTGCACACATGGCCAAGCAGGCACATTTAAGTCTATAACCTTTTTTTCTTTTTATAAATTAGAATGCTAATTTAGTGATTTACAATGAGAAAGCTAACTTGGGCTGACTAAACTTAAGTATAATTAAGAAATTGTTTAATTAGGATATAGAATTCAATATAATATCAATTTTGTACAAATATAAACATTAAAAAAAACAGGAAATAGTGACAATTATATCTGGATAGTGGGATTTTATTTTCTTTTGTATATTCTGTTTTTCGATTTTTTAATCATGGAAAAAAGAGATTAGGACAGGTAAGTTTCATACCTTTGGTTATTGTGTAAGCCCTAAATTGCCTCAGTGGCTGAGCAATATCGTCTCTGAGTGCCGTGAAGAGTGAGGTAGGAGTAAACTCAGCATTAGCAGTATCGAGACCACCAGTAACCGCCTCTCAATCAGTGGCCTTGTCTTAGTTCTCACCTTTTTTGACTTGTTTGTAGTGTTTGATGCTGTTGACCACCTGTACCTTCTTAAATTTTTCTCTTCTTTTGGGTTACTTCACTGTATAACCCTAGATGTTTTCTTCCTACCTCTTTGATTGTTCATTCTGTTTCCTTCACTAGCTTCTTTCTTCTTACCCACTAAAGGTGGGTATTGCTCCAATGTTCTGTTCTTCTCTCCATTATCTCCTTTGGTTATCTCATTAGCTTTCACAGACTTAACTATCTTCGTTCGTTCGTTCATTCTTTCACTCTCTCAGTACTTCTTGATTGCCTCCCATGTAACAGCACTGTGCTAGCTCAGTGATCTAGGTAGTAGAGAATCAGGTAAAGAGACAAATACAGAATAATTTGAGTGTAATTCTTTGTGGTAAGTGTCCCAATGAGGTGGTGTGGTGTGGGAGCACACAGGAGAGGTACCTGACCCGCTTGTGGGGAGGATGGAGAAAGAGGAGTGGTCATCAGGATGACTTTTCAGAAGGGATGTGCTTGGTTGAGTAGGTGTTAGCAAGAGAGGGTTGGAACATCTCAAACCATGGAAACCAAGCAGCTCAAGTAAAGGCAATTAGGCAAGATAGAGCGTGGTCTTTTAGAAAACTGTAGGGAGTTCAACATAGTGGGAAAGAGTGTGGAGAGAAGAAGCTAAAGAGGGCCCAGATCAAGTGGGACACCACCCAAAGGGAGTTTTCAGCATCAGTTTGTTTTTTTAACTGGTAAAGAGATTTAATTCAAAGACCAGTTATGAGGTTATTACAGTTACCAAGGTAAGAAATGATGGAGGCTGCAACTAAGGTAATTGTAGTAGGAATAGAGAGTAGGGAATTGATTTGAAATATAAGCAAGTGGAATTAGATGAGACTTGACGACTAATTGAAGGGGAAGAAGGAAAAGTCAAGAAAAGTTCAAGCTTTCTTTGTGGACCATTGTGCTCATTACCAGTGTTAGATAGGTGGATAGAGGGGCAGATTTGAGAGAAAGAATGATAAATTCAGTTTAACCTCCCCAAACCAATAATAGGATATCCTTGAGCACTCAGTCTAAGGGTTATTCCAGGGAAGTGTCCTTGGAAGGCCTGTGTGTCTGTTCTGATGGCACCCTCTGTGTACGTGCCTGTTTCATAGCACTTATCTCACCGAATTATAGTTGTTTGTTTACTTATCTGTTTCTCCCATAGACTGTAAGCTCCGTAAGGGCAGGGACAGTGGGACAGTGCCTTTCATTTCTTTACCTCCGGTTTGTAGTGTAGTGCGTGTAGTAGATATATGTATTTGAGTTGAATTGAATTATTAAACAGGCCACCGTCAGGTAATAGGATGGGACTGAAATTTTAGGACATTCTCAACTTCTCTCTGGTGGTGGTTATAATAAATTAATGAGTTGCTGAGAACGTGAAAATGCTGTGTAGTGTTTCCTTAGATTTTTTTTAAAACTTAGCTATACTTTTGAAATTGCCACTTTCAGGCTTCTCATTCTGGGAATCCTATACATTACCTTTCTTGATTCTGATTGAACACAGTTTCCAAGGGCTCGTTTTCATCACTAGATTCCTTCACTAGATCTTGCATCTTTTCTAAAAGATATTTCTACCAATTAAAAGTGCAGTATAAAAACAATACTGGTGTAAGGAAGACAGTGGGTTTCCATTATAAAATGATGAACCAAACACCCCCATTTACCCTCCCATACTTCTCAGATATCATTGAAAAAGACAAAACAGACATAAGAAAAAGAATAAATCATAATTGTTTTACAAAACAGAAAAGGGAGACTTTGAAGCCAGATTACCTATGTCTGAATCCAGGCTCTGCCATTTACCAACTGTGTGACTTTGAGCAAGTTCCTTTTTTTTTGCCTCAATTTCCTCATCTGTAAAATTAGGATGATGATACTAGTACCTATCTCTTAGGGTTATTGTGAGGATCAAGAGAGAGAATATATGCAAAGCACTTAGAATTTTTACATTTAGCTAATGTTGAATTAATGTTAACTGCTATCATTCTTGTTATTTTATAATACTACCAGAAAATCTGAGGGATTTCAGGATAATAGAAAGTAGTTGGAATTATACTGATTGAGAAACCAGAACAGAATAAAATGCAACCCCAAATAGATGCTCCTGCTGCATGCTGGAAGTCAGAGAATTCTTAGATGGGCCTCTTTCCTGAAACTCTAACCCTAGAGTTAGCAAGTGTAGGAGGAGGGAGCAGGCTGAGGAAAGATGGAACAGCAGGGCAAATAATTAAGGGACTACCTACAAAACAGTTATTTCCCCTACTCCTTCTCTCCCTCCCTTCATATAAAGAGCTCTGACAGTGGCATTAGTTCCCAGGATAAAGCTATGAGAACAGCTCTTCAAGCAAAGTAGGGGATTTGCTTTGGGGAGGGTTGAGCAGGCAGTGCTGTAATAGGCTGGGATTGGAGAGAGTGCAAGCACAAAGCAGAGCTTTAGCTAATGGACCTCTGCAATAGATTGGGTGAGGAGGGTGGAATGGGGACAAGAAAAGAAAGGGAGCTCCATCAAGGATTGATGTACATTAAAGGACATTACTTTCAAAATGCAGACTTCCTTATTTGGCAATAGTAAGGCAAAACTGCTCTCCTTTTCTCCACTTCTAAAGGGAAACCTGTCTGTCAGTGTACCACTTAGCTGCAGAGACCCACATTTGGAGGTTTGGAGACAGACTAATACAACTGTTGAAGAAATCCATGCCTCTTACAATTACTAACCAATGTAGTCCTTCGTTTATTAGTATGAATAGGTGATCAGCTCACTACATATTTGAGGGAAACTAGACTTGAAGGCATATAACTAAGATGAACAAATCAAACACCTGGCCATGGTGGAGATAATGAGGAAGCAGAGTGGAACTTTAGGAAGTTCTGATCACAGGTTTCCTCACAGTCAAGAGTGAACTGGATCCATAAATTACAAACTAACTCCTGTGGAGAAAAAGGAATGATTAAAGAATTACTTAGTTCAATATTGAAGACTTGATTGCCAAAATAAAAATGAAGTTGGAGGGTTAAATAATAGGCTTAAACCAATTTTTATGAATATAAGGTAGAGGAAATATACAGACCATAAATCAAGACGCCAAAAGAGAAAATACATGAGGAAAATTCATGCTTTGAGGAAAGATCTAAGTGATCCAGAATCCATTTTATAGAGTTACAGAAGGAAAGATCAGACAGTGGAAGGGAGAAAATAAAGAATATTTCCGTATGCTGACTAAAAACTTTGTTTTCAAGTATAAAGGGTCCACCAAGGAACAAGCAGGA